CCCCCCCCCCCCCAGTGCAACGTCCCTAAAAACTATCTGCAGAAGGTGGTCAACCAGCAATTGTATATCAAAGTGAGAAAATGAAGTTATAAGCTGTTAACATTTCTGAATTTGACCATCATCTGCAGGTCCGTAACTAGCTATGAGGCAACCGAGTCAGTTGCATGCCTCGGTAGGAGGCATGAAATGGCATTTTAGGTTCTAGTACTAGTTTAGTTTTTCCAAGCAAAGCTAAACATTAATAGCTTGGGCGGAACAAAGTTTCTAGAGATTACTAAAATTCTTCATGAAAATATTCTCGATGTGTTGGTCATTGGTGAAACCAAATTAAATGGTTCTTTTCCAAATAACCAATTTCTATTATCAGGATATAAAATATTTCGCAAGGACAGACCCCTTAGCAAAGCGGGAGGTGGCGTGATCATATATGTTAAATCAAGTCTCACAGTCCAACGATTTCAAAACCTTGAATGTGCTAACGTTGAATCAATTATACTAAGACTTACAATAAATTCTTCGAACATTGCCTTGCTTGGAGTGTATAGACCACCTAATCTTAGGAAATCTGTGTGGGTTAATGAATTACACACGCTTTTGGACAATGCATCGTACATTGCAAAAGACATGGTCCTGCTTGGTGATTTGAACTGCGATTTGCTTCGTCCTGATTATCAAGATTGTGATGGAAGGGCTCTTCTTGACATCTGTGATATTTATGACCTTTGCTGCCTTGTACAGGGACCAACTAGGATCTCTAACAATACAGCTACCCTTATTGATGTGATACTAGTAAATAATCGTCGACGATTTATACATACCGAGAGTATTGACGTCCATCTTAGTGATCATAATATGGTCTGCACTGCTCTGAAAGCTCAAATACCCAAAGCATCTCCAAAATTTATAACGTATAGAAGAATGAAAGACATTGATAGCAAAGGTTTGGTAAATGATCTTAGCAATGTCCCGTTTCATGTAGCATACACCTTTGAGGACATTGATGATATTTATTGGGCCTGGCAAACTTTGTACATGGATGTAGTTAATGAATATGCCCCACTAAAAAAAGTTAAAGTGAAGGGAAATCGAGTACCTTATGTAAATGACGATCTTAGGAAGGCAATTCGTAAAAGGAAAAGACTTTGGAAGAAATATCTAAAGTATAATACAGATGAAGCTCACTTGGCATATAAACAACAGAGGAATTTAACTGTGAAATTACGGCGAAAGGCTATAGCTGCTTATTTTAGAAGTTCAACAGATAATGCAAATTCTGATCCTCGTAAATTTTGGAAAACATTTAAACCCTTTCTACATACAAAGAATTCCAAATCAACTGAAGATATTGTGTTGCAGGAAAACGGTAAGATTATTAAGGATAGACAGCAGATAGCAGACATTTTAAATAATTATTTTGTTAACGCCTGTGGGCCGATTACCGAACAAAACAGTGATACGCTCCAAAACCATCCGAGCGTTAAATCTATCGAAGCATTCATGACGACTAGAAATGTAACAACTGAAGGACATACCTTTTCATTTAGTGAAGTAAAATGCCAGACAGTTTTGGATATTATAGCTGCCTGTAAAACATCTAAGGCACCTGGCTTTGATAATATATCGGCTAGCTTGATCAAATTGACGTCCGATGTGATTATCCATCCACTGACAGATTTAATAAATACTTGCATACGACTTGGTAACATTCCTATTGATTGGAAATCTGGGCAATTAACTCCAATATTCAAGAAGGGGCAGGATCAGAATAATATGGAGAAATCCTGTTATAGACCTGTGACGGTATTAGTTATATTTGACACCATATTCGAAAAATGTCTATATCAACAATTATATGAATGGTTTGAGGAACTACTGGTCCGTAATCAATCGGCTTTTCGTAAACATCATGGATGTGATACGTCGTTACTTAATCTAATAGAAAATTGGAAGTTTAATCTTGATGCCAAACAGTATGTCGGGGTTGTTGCACTTGATCTTAGCAAAGCATTCGATAGCTTGCCGCACGAATTGCTTCTAGCAAAGCTTCAAGCATATGGCCTATCTAAGTCGAGTGCTCAGCTAATTAGAAGCTTCATCACAAAACGACGACAACGAGTTAAAGTCCTCGATAAAACTTCTCACTGGGTGGAAACGAGCAGAGGGATCCCTCAGGGCTCTGTTTTAGGACCACTTTTCTTCAATATCTTTGTTAATGATCTCCATTTTGATGTAACTAATGGAGAAATTAATACGTTTGCTGACGATAATCAGCTCTATACCAGTCACCAAAATGCGGACAGAGTTGAAGACACGTTAAAATCAGATCTTGACTCAATATTAGAATGGTTTCATCAAAACTTCCTCACAGCAAACCCCAAGAAATTTCAAAGTCTGGGCTTAGCGCCTGGTAGATCCACTATTGACCTCCAAGTTTCAGTAATGGGTAACCCGATTCAACAAACGTCATCTATGAAGCTTCTGGGTGTTACGTTAATAAGATAATAAGCTTAATTTTCATGACCATATTGCAAATTTGTGTAGAAAGGTCAGTCGACAAGTGGCAGTTCTAAATAGATTTAAGCGATTGATTCCTTCTGAATCAAAGATAAGACTTTATAATTCATTTATATTATCATATCTCAATTACTGTTCTACTGTTTGGCACTTTTGCCGTAAGAGTGATTCTAACAAGCTTGAGAAATTAAATGAAAGGGCATTGAGGACCGTTTTCCAGGACAGATCTAGTAGTTATGAGACTTTATTAAACCAAGCTAACAAAACAACGCTGTATAACCGTCGTTTGCAGGATATTGCAATACTAATCTATAAGGCTCTACATAATCAATCTCCACAGTATATCAATCAACTATTTGAACTGCGCGTATCCAACTATAATCTTCGAGGAATTGACATGCTTACATTACCTAGATTTAATACTGTTACCTATGGAAAGAACTCGTTAAGATATATGGGGCCTAAAATATGGAACAGTCTACCAGATGAAGTTAAAGCGGCAGACAATATCGTAATATTTAAGAAAAACATTCGTAAATTTGAATTTCAAGATGTTTAGACTTACACATTATTTATCTAGTCATTTAACAATATAATATACATATTTATTTTAATATATAGATATTTGTAATTCTATTAGTTACTCAGTCAAACTAGCACTTTGTGTGCTATATCTAAACAGAGTCAAAATAAATTATTATTATTATTATTATTATATAGCATCTGACCGATGAGAAGTTCGCCTCACGATTTGAGACGCAGATATTCAAATTCATTAGTCATCGATGCAGGCTCTCAATTCAGCTTGAGAGCCTGTTCGCAGGCTAGTGCATTGTTTAAGCATGCAACCTTATGCCTGGTTCACACTGGTCGTAAGAATCGGGGATTTCCACTGTCTGCATGTGGTCATTGGTTTGTAAAATGCTTTGTCTGTCGGAAAATAATACAGTAGATTGCCGAATCGGGGATTGTAAGAATCGGGGATTTCCATTGTCTGTGGTCATTGGTGTGTAAAATGCTTTGTCTGCCGGAAAATAATACAATAGATCGGCGATGAATTACGACCAGTGTGAACCAGGCTTAACCATGCAGGGATTACGATCCATGATCATTTGTTATGTCAGGCATGTGTCAAATGCATTAAAAACTAGAGGGCACTCAGAGACTGCATACCTCCGCCCGTTACTCGGAAGTGAAACGCAACCTTGGAATTTCCTAAGAAATCCACTTTATAATTCTTAAGCATAAAAGATTTCAGGCCCCCGCGAATTGAAATCGAATTGCTAATAGAACATATTACTGTCGTTGTACTGTACAGTACTTGTAAAATAAAAACTTATTAAGTGTCATTAAATAAATGCATAAATTTTGGTTTATGCACTCGCGCGTGCAGTAATTTTCACAGTTGTGCTATTTGAAATTCCCAGGCAGCTAATATCTTTTGTCTTTAATTAAAAGAATGTCGATTTCTTGGGAAATTCCGAGGTTGCGTTCTTTTTATACACCCTGTATTGAAGTAATCTAATGTTGTTAGAATTTGAATGGACTGGCACTTTGCTGAACGTAATAATGCGTAACTCCGTAAGCCTTGTTTTAGACATTGAATTTCGGTCGCGTGAAATGCAACTAAGACAATAGATAATGAAGGCCGAAGCTTAATGAGGTTTATCATCTCATTACTGTCTTAGCACTGAGTGCATAAATTATACACGTCCCAATTACGCATTCAGTATTATATTTTGTTAATTGACCGGGAAAAGCAAGACAAAATTTTGTTCATTTCTCGTTCAATTTTTAACCAAATTCAACCAAATTTTAATCAGTTCTTCCTTAGCCGATGGGAAATGCATTCAAAAAATTTCGTACGGATATGTTTGGTGTTTCTTGAGTTATCGTGCTCACAGACAAACACACACACATACACACACACACACACATACACACACACACACATACAAACCCAGATGATTACATAACCTCCTGGCGGAGGTAACAATGTCCTCAACTCTTAGGGTAGTTTTCAAAGTGACGTGGCTTTAATTTGATGTCCTTGGATGCAAGTTTTGCTCTATGTTGTTCGGTATTCAGTTCTACAGGGTGTATAAAAAAAAACTGAACAGATTTAAAATTGGCCTCAATTTTGCAAAACAGCTATTTGTATCTGGTTTTTTATATATATAGCTTCTTTGGGTACTTATAATGTAAAATAATGAAAAAAATTTCTCGAACTCAAATTTTGTGAACCAGAGGGGTGTGTCTTTTCCAACAAACTAAAAATGGCTCGCGCACAAAATTTAAAAGCTGCAATCATATTTTGAGTTAACAGATGGAAAATGTGTCGGGATTTTAATTACTGTACAAAATTTCAGACAATTTGGTTTAGTTTAAGCCCCTTAACTATTCACGCAAAGTTACAATTTTCCCGAAAAATCAGCTATTTGCATGCTTAATTAATGCATTTGCCTAATTTGCATATGTCAGCAATATGCAAATTAGGTAAAGGCATTAATTAAGCATGCGAAAGGCTGACTTTTTAGAACAAAATGAATAGTTAAAGGACTTAAACTAAACCAAATTGTCTGAAATTTTGTACAGTAATTAAAAACCCGACAAATTTTCAATCTATCAACTCAAAATATTATTACAGCTTTTAAATTTTGTGCGCGAGCCATTTTTAGTTTGTTGGAAAAGACACACCCCCCTGGTTCACAAAATTTGAGTTCGAGAAATTTTTTTCATTATTTTACATTATAAGTACCCAAAGAAGCTATGTATATAAAAAAACAGATACAAATAGGTGTTCTGCGAAATTGAGAGCAATTTCAAATCTGTTCAGTTTTTTTTTATACACCCTGTATAAACGACTTCGCATCTGCAAATTCAAACGAAAGGGAATTTGTCGAAGACAAATATTCACATATTCCAGGTTCACATATTCCTGCGGCCGATGCAGGCGTTATCATTGACACATTAGGGAGTTGACGATCTACGACGCGATCAGCACGACGACGACGTCAGGCCTACTCTGGGGCGGTAAATCGCCTTAAATCGCCGTGATATAATGCGATTTTGGGCGATTTTAGGTGATTTAAGGAAAAACTGGGACTTTCAAGCACTGCGATTTAATGCGATTTTAGGCGATTTAAGGCGATTTAAGAGAAAATTCTAAATTTTAGGGATTGCAATTTAGGTGTTTTCAAGGTAATTGAATTTTATATTTTGCTCTGGTTTCCTCCCACAAGGCAAAATATGGCAGGGTGGGTTAGACTAAAAACAGTTAGAAAAGTGATATCATATTATCATTGTTATAAAGATAAATAGTCTAGACTAACATAAGTAATCCTAATACTTGATGTAAGCGGTAACTGAAAAGCCCCAAAGGGGAGTGAGCTGAATAATGTAATGTTTTCACACACATATGCATTGTATGAAGCAAAATACAATTATTAGAACATGTATGTACATTTTATATAAAGCTAGGTTAATAATTATTGTATTTAACCCGAATCATATATAAAGCTCAATATTCGTGAACTTTTCATTCATTGTCTTATTTAGAAGCTATTGGAGTTCATCCTGTGGGGCATGTGGTCATTCATGGCTACATTATAAACCATTAATATTGTAAACAGTTAATAAATATACTCTACTTAAGGGGCATGTACGGTACATAATTGCAAAAAGCCAACCTATAACTAAACTACACATGTCTTAGGCTAAACCTTAATATTATTAATTGCAAAATATAATAGATATTAGATTTCCAAAAGAACCACAGCCCACAGGGAGTAGAAACGCACAATGTATTTATACAGTTACAATAAGCTATATTCCTATAAATTACCTTGTCACCCTTGTAAGTGAAATTGTCTTGTTTTGTATCTTGTCAACACTTCTTCATTTAGCTTGCATTTTATTTAAACTGTTTCAACAAACATGTTTTATAAAATTATGTTTGATATCTATATCCAGAAACAGTTTGAAACAGTATTGTCACGCTTTCGGAAACTGTCGGCGTAATGCCGTAAAGTTTAATTTACATGAAGTATATCGCATATAAATGGTCGGAATTCTAAATTATTTTAAAAAAATTACTAAACAAAATGATATTAAACAAATGGCACACCGCGCACTACATCGTGGTTTTAAGTCTTTTATCTGATAATTTGTCAAGTGTTCTGCAAACAAGCAACAACAAAGATTGTACAGTATGTACGAGGTAATCATTGTTTTACTGTTTATTTTATATACAGGTCTGGAAAATTTAATAGATGAGAGTTGCAAAACTTGCAAATCTCGCTCATAACCTCACGTATGTTTTTCGTATGATAGCCAATATAATTATAACTAGGAGCTAGAGTATAACCATGCACATGTCGAAGTACAACCATCGTATACAATGCAGTGCTCGATCTACATGCAACAGTGCACAAATTGCAGGATGACCTTATTATATCCTCGTACTCATTGACTCTCATTATCATAGTCTCCTACTGCTGTTCTAACAGCAATTAGGCTTTGAGAAGCCATGTATATTATAGATTAATTTGTAGCCCAGCCACGATAGTCCATATAAATTGTAGCCCAGCCTCCACATTTTACACCAATAATGAAATTAACCAGTAACTCAATTTTGTTGCTGGTAGTGTAATGGAATCTATGGGTCTTTCATATCCCAAAACTGCCTAATTATCGTAAAGTCTGCATAAAGCAGAATAAGGCTCTGTTTTTATTAACGACCGGAGCCTATTGAGTGACTAAATATTGTCAGCCTAATCCACTTATTTGTTTATCCATGTTGCATTACTTTTAATTGCAAAACACCTGGATTATACATGATTTGCCGGCAAAATAGCAGCAATTGATAAACTTGAATACATTATTGACCAAATGTATCAAACAGAATGCATGTTGGCGAGTTAATGCGATTTTAAGCATGGGCGTACGGGAAGGAAAAAAATAGGGGGTTGGAAAGAAATTTGCCTGACTTTTTCGGATTATGCACACGTTGTCAAAAATAATTTGGGGGAGAAACTATCCAAAATTGTTGTCGACGTGGGGGGGGGAGAAGTGATTACAAAAAAATCCTATTAGATAGCATATTTCCCACATAATTGACAGAATTTCCCACAAAATTGACGGAATTTGTCCCATTTATTTCTATAATAAACCAATATTCCCCGACTGTGAAGCGATGATTTTAAGCGATTTTAGGCGATTTAAAGCGATTTTAGGCGATTTAAGAGAAATTTGACAATTTTAACCCGCGATTTAATGCGATTTTGGGCGATTTTAGGCGATTTACCGCCCCAGAGTAGGCCTGACATCCTAGCATTCGATTCTTTAACTTTATCAAAAAAAATATTTTAACTTAATACATTGTTCAAATTCATGTATATCCTTTTTCATTTGAAATTTATCAATAATATTATTTGGCATAGGGAAAAAATTCAGACCTCTAGATAAAACCCGGCTTAATCTCTTCAACTTTTAAATGTCGGTTAGAGAGATTAACTACATTCTCACTAACAAAGCCTCGGCTTTGATCACAACAATCTCTACTCACATCCCTACGGTCTACCAACACACTTCTGTCCTCAACTATTTCCTGCGATAATACCTCTGATATAATTTTCTCTCCACACTGTTGCTTTTCGTCCATTAATTCATTTCTGCCAGCATAATTTTCTCTTGTTAAACATTCTTGGTCCGTTTCAAAATAAGGAGAAGTTTGTATATTCAAACGTAGTACCTTTAGTTTTGAATTTTCATCCAGAGTTGTCGGAAGTAAATGATTCTATGGTCTATATTGCATGCTTCGGATGAGATGAAAGAAGAGTTTAAAGATAAAAGGCCTTTGATTTCGTTTAGAAGACCTCGTAATTTAGAGGATAATTTAGTAAGATCTAAAATAAAAAGAGACGCTGATACAGGTAATGCTAAGGGTATGAAGAAGTGTGGAAAATCTAGATGCCAGATATGTTGTTATGTAGAGGAAACAGAAAAATTTGAATATGGAAGTAATAAGTATTGGATAAATTATTCCTTTGATTGTGATTCAGAGGGTGTAATTTATGTATTAAGATGTATCAGTTGTTCTAAGATTTATGTGGGAAGTACGATAACATATTTTAGGAAGAGATTTAATAACCATGAGAGCTCTATGAGGAAGTATGAACAAGGGGGCAGAAAAATGGCTGCGGAGCATTTATACACACATTTTTTTGGCCCTGCACAGCAAAAAATCGTTTTCTTATTTCAAGAAAAAAATAACTTGTTTCAAGAATTATTTTCTTAAAACAAGATTTTTTTTACTAGGGAGAATAGCGAGAAATATTCTCTAACGGAGAAAATATTTCTTAAAATATTTCTTAAAATAAGAAAAAACATTTTCTTGTTTTAAGAAAAATATATCTCATTTCAAGAAAATAATGAAACATTTTTCTAGTGCACTTTTTCTTAAAATAAGAAATTTTATTAGAACTAGAAAATTTTTCTTAAATTATGAAAACTTTACTTAAATAATAAGAAATTAAATCATAAATTAAGAAAATATAACTTATTTTAAGAAAATATTTCTTAAAACAAGAAAACTTTTACTAGGGCGAATAGCGAGAAAAAAATTCTAATTAAGAAAATATTGCTAGATGAATAATTTTCTTGTTTTAAGAAAATATATCTTATTTTAAGATTAACTTTCTTAAAACTAGATACTTTTGACTAGATAAAAAAAATAAGATAAATTTACACCTAACATTCTCAGTTTAACAAAAAAACTCTCATTCTAAGAAAATAACTTATATATTTACTGAAATAGTAGTTCTGATAGCACAGCAGTGTGTTGTAGCGAATTGGGTTTCTCCCAATTTTTTTTCTCAGGATTTTGTCTTGGGTCCGTTTTTGCAGAGAAGATTGAGTTTAGCTGAACAGTTGGGGTGGCTGTACCGCCCTCCTCCCCCCCGCTACCGGGGGGCTGACACATGTACTCAATAAATGTAGTTGAGACGGAATGTGTTAAAGCAGGGACACTATAAACTGGTTAAAGATGGCTTGCCAGGCTTCCAACTGAAAACTAATTTCCACACGTCACAAAATTTTTACTGCACTGAAACTTTGCTGAGAAGATTGAGTTTCAAGATTGAGTTTTTGGGGCCGTTCAACGGCCCTAAGAAATCCCGGAAAAAAACCCTGAAGCATTATTTTGTTTAACATTTTGTCCATTTGACAAACAATATTATCTACAGTATACCATTGTTCATTCACCAAGTCCATTGATTTCTTCATGTACATTTAATTAATACTGTTCCAAACACAGCATGCAATTGCCATCAAAGATCCATCATATTAGAATCTGTAAAAGGAAAATTTTATTTATTGAAAATGTAATCATTACTTTCTACAAAATATGCCAGAACAATGACCTTGAGACTTATCATTAACCTACAGTGTATAAGGGACTACAAACTGTGGATGTAATAAACAGTCTTTATTTAACCAATAACAAAGCCAGTCCTTATTTGTATGTACAAGGTGATGCAGGGTATGACAAATATACATATGTTAACCAGAGACAAGCTTTCTCCTGACCTGTACCCAGTAGACCAGGGTTTTTTCAGGAATTTTTTAGGGCTGTTAATTTAAACGGTCCCAAATACTCAATCTTAAATTGAGTTTTGAAACTCAATCTTCTCACCAAAGTTTCAGTGCAGTAAAAATGAAGTTGTTTGAGTTATAAAATTTTGTGACGTGTGGAAATTAGTTTTCAGTTGGAAGCCCGACAAATAAGAAAAAATTGCTGGAATTCATCTTGCAACAAAAGAAAAACTATGCATTCGCCATCTTTAACCAGTTTATAGTGTCCCTTAGTGCCCCTGCTTTAACACATTTCATCTCAACTACATTTATTGAATACAGGTGTCAGCTTCCCGGTAGGGGGTAGGGGGGCGGGTGCAACCACCGCAGCTGTTCAGCTACATAAACTCAATCTTCTCTGCAAAAACGGACCCAAGAGAAAATCCTGACAAAAAAACCCTGTAGACTACTATCTGGTGCCATCAGGTATCTGGGCACCATCCGGCTACCATCTGGTATTAGGCAATTGAACCACCATCTGGCGCAATTTCTTCTGGCAAAGACCTTGGACCGATGTTATTTTAAAAAGTAATAACCAATAATCACTATTAATCAGCAAGCTTAGTTTCACCAGACACAAAATATTGTTGCATCATACTTTATTATTTTATTCTCTCTAACACCAGATAACTTTACTTGTCAAGGGGAGAGCAGTTGTGCTCAATGGGTTAATCAGACTATCTGCCCATGTGTCAAATTAACCATTTAATTGCATTGTGCACTACAGTCTAACTTGCCATTTGGGAATAACAGTGTTAGCTGATAATTATAAGTTATAATTAGCCAAGTAAATTATGTCAATTAATTTATGATCTGTCATGTGACAGTGACCTTGTGGACTAAATATGATACTCAACTGATCGACTGTCTTCTCTTAAATAACTTTAACTCATTAGACAGATAGCATCAATGTAGTGTAGTAACATTACATTAACCCTTTAAGTGCCACTGCAACAAGATGGCCCTACATTATTATTTTACTCTGTCTAATGCCAGACGATTTAACTCGTCAGAGACTCAGGGGAAGAGTGCTGCCCCCAATTGAGTTAATACATCAGGACCCTGGACATGTACAATTGTTTGGCATTGAGTTAGCAAGACTAATCTAGTAGGACGTAAAAAAATACCTGTGGTTCCGGTTTCATATCGCGAAAAAATTAGGGTTGGTAGGTCGGAAATAATTTTTTTTTTGAATACTTTTTCATGGATTTTTCAATAATTAGTCTGACAACAGAAGTCATTTTGGTAGCAGCCCGCAACCATCCGGAGAAAATAGGAACGCACAGTCAATCATTTTGAAAAAATAATAGGGTGGGTAGAAAAAAAGGTCGATCGGGAACCGGAACCACAGGTATATTTTTACACCTAGTATGGCACAGATAAAATTGGTACCTGTACCAAATTTATCCATGCTCGGCCTGTGTGAATAGGGGTAGTCCAAGCATGGTAAACATGTTACGGATACCAAAATTGAGTACAGTGCCAACAGGCCTTACAATGGGCTGCATTGGGGGTAGATTTAGGATTCACATGTAATTGTGTTGTTAATATTTACTACATTTTTGATGCAGTATCAAGAAATGTAATAATTCCTACAAACAAGGTCCTTACATGGGCTGTTTACAAGATCAAGACTGATTCGTCTGGCTGGACCGGCTTGCAAGTGCCGAGATCTGGTCTGGTACATGTATATTGTTTTTATATGTTTTTGAGATTTGATTCGCATGAGAACCGGGCAGGCCTGGTTAATTTGATGGGCTCCTGTTTGAGCAAGGCAATATCTCACCTTTCCCGGCCAGCCCGGCAAACCAGACTGGCAATTGACAATTGTGTCATAACGCATGCTTTATTCTATCATGTCTAGAAAGCATATAAGAATTCAAAAAATAACATTAATCAACAATATTAAAACTTCTGAAGCAGTTTCCTTCAATAAAAACAAATATCGCTTTCCCACCATATAAAATTGTTTGGGAATTTCTTATAGCACTTGCCAGGCTAGCCCGCTTCATGTGAAACAAATAACAACTTGGCCCGGCAAAGCAAGCTAACTCGGATTAACGGGCCAGCATGGCTCATATGAACAGGTCCTGGATGACCGCCTTAGCTGGGCCAGTTTGTCATTTTCTTCATATAAAGCACTAAAAGCAGACTATTTATTCTTGTTCATTCTTACCTTACAGCACCAGTTTGTCAATTCAATCCAGAATTACTTGATTATTGAGAACAACATTTGGAGCCAGGCGATAGCCCAGCACCAATATTAATCTGAAAATACATAAAGCAAACATTTCAGGCATTGTGTCACAAACATGTTACACATTATAAACTGAAGTTCATTAAGGGCTTGCAAGACTCTCCGGCCGCTTGAAGAGTGAAATTGTCTGGCACTAGACAAAGTAAAGCAACAGCAGGGATGCATTTGGGCACATTTGCAAGCTTTATAATGGCCTTAATGTGTTATTAAGATCAAAACACTGAAAATATTACATTCACTTTATAAATTCTTCTGTAATTCTAATCCTTTATATTCATGTATTAAAATGCTAACATATCTTTGAAGGCATTCGAATGTTTAATATATACAAGGGTCAAGTTGAGTGCCATGCATATACTGTAATTTATATGTCAAACAGCCAAAGGCAATTATTGCTATTAAATTGTTAATAATAGTGCATTAGTGAGTAATTTAGTACAGAATTTGCTATAATGGATTCGAATTGATATTTTATTCCTTTTTTCATTGCCAGAAACCAACATTTCGTAGGTTTTTTATGCAAATTGAACGCGGCAAATTCAAACATTCAACGGAATTTTAGGCAAATGACTCAAGAACAATCACACATTCTTTCGCAATTAAAGTGCTTAAATAACAAGTCAAAATAAAATATTCTTACCTGTGAGATCTGAATAACATTTTAAGACCTTTCCGATGCCTTTACCGTCGTTTGGGAAAGAACAATTTGATAAATATACTGTAAATATAAACTGGAATTCAGTTAGCACTTTATAGCACAAAGAAGTCTGAAACGACGGTATCCCATGAACCTTCGCGCTCTGATACGTAAAATAAGCACCAAGCCCCCAGTCAATGCGCGAACTATTACTGCTTGCATGTCTGCATTTTCAATCAGGTATTGACTGTTAATTTTATCTATAATAAATTATCGGAAAGTCATGAAAATTCTCTGCAATTATTAAATAAAACACGAGAAAAATTCAAACTTTAGAATGTAAATTAGAATGTATAGTATGGTATCAGGGCCAGGAGCGAAACTAGCCCCTTTTAATTAGGGGGTGTCTGCTAGAATTTCCCTGCGAAAGCCGATGATGCCCTGCTACAAACTTTTTTTTTGGCCACTATTTGTCCAGAAAATGTTGGCGAGCGCGGGGGGAGGTCGAAAATTTTTTTTCAGGACATTCAAAAAAGGGGCG